TCTTCTGGCAGGCCTATTTTTGGGCGGGGACGGGGAGGACGCGATCAATGATGGCGTGCCCTTCGTCCAAAACTAGCCTAGTGCAGGCCAACCTCCACCACAACGAAACTGCGTCGGCTCAATTACGCAAGTGGTTGGAGGTTCAAAGGACTGCCATAGCCTTAATCCAGGAGCCATGGGTTGGGGCTGGTAAAATTAAAGGCCTAAACAACCTAAAAGGTAAGTTATTCTACAGCTCTGAACACGACAAGCCTAGAGCGTGTATTTACACTACTAAAGATATCTGTGCACAACCTTTAACAGATTTCTGTTCTAGAGACATGTATGCCGTAGCAATACAGTACACACAGGAGAGTAGATTAGTCGTCGCCTCGGTCTACATGCCGGAGGAAGACACTCCTCCCCCTCATGACCTCAGCAGGCTGGTGAACTTCTGCGAGAGGACCGGACTAGAGGTTGTGATCGGGACAGACTCCAACGCACATCATCCCCTTTGGGGAATGGAAAAACCAAATGAACGAGGTAAAGTTTTAGTTGAATATTTATTTAGTACTAACCTAACCATTTTAAACATAGGTTCTGAACCTACTTTCATAAACAAACGCTGTCGCACTATAATCGACCTCACACTTGCAACAGAAGGAGCAGCCAAACTAATTACGGGATGGCATGTGTCGAGAGAGGCCTCATGCTCAGACCATAGATGGATCTGCTTCGCACTACAGGTCGATATCCCCTCTACACCACCATGGAGAAATCCCCGCAAGACAGATAAAACAAAATACCTAAATAGGCTGACGTCTTTGCTAGCGGATTTTGAGGGGATAAATACTATAGCAGATCAGTCGCTCCTAGAAGAACAGGTAGCAGCTGTTACTAAGGCCATGATAGACAGCTACCATGAATCATGTCCAGAAATCACTCCACCAAGACATGCCGAGGTAAAACAACCGTGGTGGGGTAAAGAACTCGATAGAAAACGTAAGAAGGTAAGAAAAGCTCTAAATAGGGCCATGAATACCTCAATGGATGAAGACTGGCTATTATATAAGAAAGCTAAGTCTGAATACAAAAAATGTATCAGGTATCAACGCTCGATTGGGTGGCGTAAATTCTGTGGCAACATAGAAACCTGCAAACAAGCAAATAGGATTAGGAATATTCTAGCTAAACAGAACACGTCGGGATCCATGTCTCTAAAGAAACCCGACGGTAGCTACTCAACATCGCCGGATGAAGCCCAACGCATCCTAATTGAAAAGCACTTCCCAGGTTGCTGCGTAACCCAGGAGGCAAACCGGCATGACGACATACTGACATCAACAGCAGAAGACTGGAATTTAGCACAGAGAGTGGTAACGATGGACAAAATCCATTGGGCCATTCACAGTTTCCTCCCCTATAAGGCGGCAGGACCCGACGGCATATTCCCGGCACTCCTACAGTGGGGGGGTAAAGCCCTAATAGTCAGACTTGCTGCCATAATGCGAGCCTGTCTTGCTCTTAAATATGTTCCTAGGGGATGGAGGGAAGTGAAAGTTACATTCATACCCAAACCAGGTAAGAGCGACTACACTGACCCTAAATCCTACAGGCCCATTAGCCTCACATCCTTTCTCCTAAAGACGATGGAGAGGATGTGTGAAAGGGAATTAAGGGGGTCGGCGCTAATGAACTTACCACTACACGACAAGCAACACGCCTACAGTCTAGGCAAATCAACAGAATCGGCCCTTTATAAGGTAATTAGAAAGATTGAAGAGGCCATCCAAAACAAAGAAATATGTCTAGGTTCCTTCATAGATATAGAAGGTGCTTTTGACCGAACGAACTTCTCCAGCATAAAAGGTGCACTCGGTAGACACAAAGTTGAACCGGCACTGATCGACTGGATAGTTTACATGCTCAGTACACGAATAATAAAGATTGCTGGTGAATCTCAACCAATCCAAATTAAGAAAGGCTGCCCGCAGGGTGGGGTTCTCTCACCTCTCCTGTGGAATATGGTCATTAATGAACTCATCAGCAAATTAAATGACAATCACTTCTATACAGTAGGTTATGCTGATGACCTGACAATACTGGTCTCTGGAAAGACAGCAAGCATAGTGTGCGACCTGACCCAAGCGGCTCTCCGTATAGTGGAGAGATGGTGCAGGGAACACGACTTAACCGTCAATCCAAATAAAACGGTTTTAGTTATGTTCACACAAAAACGAAAGCTGAATAACTATCATCCTCCAAGTCTTTTTAGCACAAAACTCCAGCTATCCTCTGAGGTAAAATATTTAGGTCTTACCTTGGACAGCAAACTTAACTGGAATAAACACATAGAAAACAAAATCAACAAAGCTAGTATAACTTTCTGGCAATGCAGAAACATGATTGGCAAAAGATGGGGATTGACGCCAAAAATCATACTGTGGCTTTACAAAACTGTAATTCGGCCCATGATCACATACGGCGCTCTGGTATGGTGGACCAAGACAAATGAAGCCACCATAATTAAAAAGCTTCAACGCTACCAGAGACTGGCATGTATGGCTGCCACAGGCTGCATAAGAACTACGCCAACAGCAGCCTTAGAAGCGATGCTGGAGCTAACTCCGCTTCATCTACATATACAACAAGAAGCGACTTTAGCTGCCATCAGACTCAAGACCCTAAATCTTTGGAGTAAGAATAGTGTCCCTCATACAGGCATAATTGATAGAATTCACTCAAAAATTCCTATCCTACAAGCCAAATACGATAGGATTCCTAAACAATTTGTTTTCGATAAGAAATACAAGATACAGTTAAATGAAAACAGCCAGCCGGAAGGATTAAGCCCAAAAGAGCTTAGAATTTTCACCGATGGTTCTAAAACAAATGAAGGTGTAGGTTCTGGAGCTTTCTCTGAAGACCTCAATATTCACATATGCACACCGCTGGGTACCTATAACACGGTCTTTCAGGCGGAATGTATGGGTATCATTCAAGCGGCCATAGCAATAGATGCTAGGAAGGTTAATGACTTCCCCATCAGAATACTGACCGACAGTAGGGCGGTACTCCAAGCCCTGAGATGCAATGTGGTGAACTCGGGACTAATATATGAATGCCATCAACGATTAAATGAGGTATGTAAAAACAACAATGTGACCCTGCAATGGATAAAGGGACACAGTGGATCCAGAGGCAACGATGCAGCAGACGAACTGGCTAGAAGAGGATCGGCTTTGGCCACTATAGGGCCGGAACCAATCATACCAATCCCCTTTGGTAACGTTTGTTCACTGGTACGTAGACACTTCACTAATCAACACGCTCAGCTTTGGAAAAATCTAGTAGACTGTAGACAAGCTAGGGATGCCCTGCCTGAAATTAACAGTCGCTTAACAAAAGTTTTAATGAGACTGAACAAGCCGCAGATTAGGATAGTAACAAGTGCTATCACAGGACACGGCACCTTTAACAAACATTTATTTACTATAGGTGTTACAGATAGTTCCCTGTGCAGGGCATGTATGGGGGAGGAAGAAACGGCGGCCCACGTGCTACTGAAATGTCCGGAGGTCGCTACATACAAGGCTAAACATCTCGGCACGCCGGGATCACTCCCCGAAGTTGCATGCAACATCAAGGGCCTGTTGAGCTTCTTCGGAGAGATCTCATGGCTCGAATAATCACATTATTCCTGCCCACACGCAAAATACGCGCATAGACGTGGAGTTGCGGAAAACAGCCCATCGTAAACTAAACTAAACTAAACTAACACAAATAAGAACAAAATACAGTCAAATGGAGAACCTACTCTTTTTTGAAGTCGGTTGAAAATAATCTTTCCATTTCCTTTCTTATACTTTATACAGAATGCTACTTTTATTTTATTATTTTTAAAGTTTTTACATCTTTTATCTGATTTATATTCTATAAAAAAAAATCATCCCCTACCTCTACAGTAATCTATATTTGTTGCTTTACACTAAATCTTAATAAACTTGTAAGTTAGCACAAAAATCAAATGATAATAATTACATCCAACCAGCATTCAGGAGACTAGTTTTGTTTTCATTATACAATATATTTGTCCTAATCTGTACAATTTTACACTTTAACTAAAATCTGTATATATGCCCCAAACCCAAATGCATAATTCATGATGCTGTATGGTATATGTATTTAAAAATGAGTGGTTGGTCTTACTTGTGAGAACACACACATTGTTTCAGTGAAAACTTCAGAATCAAACATTAATCAAGGACAGTGTGAGTACAGTGGGTATCAGAAAAGGAGACAAAGGGAAATGAGAGAGGAGATGACCAGCAGCACCCTCCCAATATAAGCTCTAAATAAAAAAAAAAACTGCAGTACATTAATGATTACTCTGCATTTGTTAAATTTATACCTCAATAGGAGCCCAAGTAGCCACACTTGGTAGGTGTACTAAAAGTAAAGAACAAAGGAGGGTTAATTGTAAACAAAGCAATAAAATATAATATAATTCATTCATTCATTACAGCCTATCAAAAGTCCACTGCTGTACGTAGGCCTCCTCTATAGAATATCTCATAGGGAGTTTTTGCAATAGTTGCCACGCTTAGCATGCCAGTTGGGAAATGCAAGATGCTACTGCCCATATCCTGTTTTAGTTTTCCCCTGTCACCTGTTACTACACTTATAAGGTATGAGGTAGTGGATATTTTTGTGCCACCACTACATGTGTCTGAAATATAATGTTAAACAGATGTAGACAACAGGAAGTAACATTATTTAATAATGCAAGACTTCTGATAGTGCAATCACCAATGCACCCATCAAGTGGGGTAAATACAATAAATCTTCATATTAGAGAGGCAAAATCCAACCAATGTTTGACAAGTGTGATGGAGACACATTTCCATATTATGTTCTTCTATTTAGTTTATTTTAATTATTATTTCCCAAATATTTATACTACAAATTGTTGTAGCAATACTACAAAATAGGCATAATAATTTAAAATTGTAACTTCTTACCCTTCTGGAGAAAACTCAAGGTTAAACACCCCTCCGGTAGGAACATCATTAGCTTGTTCACAATCCCAAGAAGCAATAGGCTTCATGCCGCAATAAAGACTTCTTGCTATAGCATTCTCTGCTCCTATTGGGTTTTGAAACCCCGTCTCGCGTCTTATTAATCTATAAGGGCTGAACGCTGAATTTTTGGCCATAAAAGCTGGAGTGTAATTGCTACCCATTTTGCTGATAACGTGAACAGTTATTAAAGCTAAATTCTCTTAAAACTTAAGTACTTCCCTTAACAGTTTTTAATAAATGCATTGTTTATCTCAGGCATTACAATTTTATACTATTTTTATTTTTTGATATAAAACTATGTACATAATTTACTATAGATCTTGTATGTAATAGGATGTCTTTTTTTGTTAGAAATCGAAAAGCAAAAAGTCTATCAGTATCATAGATTAGTATCACAGAATACTTTCCTTCACAGACTAACTAGTAGATTCTACACGAACTCCTAGATATTAGTACTGTATGAAGGGTGTGAAGTCAATAGTTGTTACGATTCGCCAATTATGGCAGGAAAACTTTTTAGACCATACAGTCTAGTCAGATTTGTATTTTGTTCATAAAGCTTTACAGTATACTGATGCGTAACATTGCTAAGTTCTTACATTTCGAAGACAACTTAAGCTTAATCCAGTGGAGTAATACTACAATGTGACGCTTCGCAATCAGTGTATTTTAAAGTTTTGTTAATAAAATACTCATCAGGTAGTGCTGTATGGTCTATGACCTTTGTCTCTTTTAAGTATATATAAACCGATCATAAACCGGAAATATAGGTACATTTATGTCAATAATGGTTGTCACTTGTCAATTTGTCTGTTATAGATGTTATACTTATATTGCTTCATTTTGTCATTTTTGTCAACAATCATAATCGTACTTACAAGCGTTCATAATTTTACAAATAACTTCAGATTAGTGTGTGGTAATTAAAATTGCTTCCTTTAGTAAAAGATAAAATGAATAATACGTCAATCCTATCAGATTTAGAAAATAGTTTTAGCGGAATCGACATGTCCAAGAAAAACAATAAAAAACATGATTTAAGTATATCTGATCAACTAGCAGATTTTGAGAAGCTACGTATATCAGCTCTAACAAAAGCTGCCGAAATAAGTCCGCTAGTAAAAGAAGTTACAATTGGGCCTAAAAGTCCTGTTAAAAAATCAAGCATAAAAGAAAATGTCCCTGTTCTAGATGACGAGAAGGAAGCAAACTTGTTAGAAGACAAAATTGGTGAGGATCTTCGTTATACCCTCATGTTAAAGAGGTATGAAGGGAAACTAAGAGAAACCTCAGAAGAGCTATTTAAAAATTTAGTTGAAAAAATGATAGCGAAACGTGCTGAAAGTATGAGAACGTTTTGGAAGAAACAAAGTGAAGAATGTGAACGCAAAACATTAGAATTGCGAGCAAGAAAGTTGCAGATGTTAAAGCAATTACAAGAAAATGACAATTTGTCTGTTTTAGGCAAAGCTAAATTAGATGAGCAAAAATGCCAAATTATAAATAAAAAAACAATAGAAAATATGAACCGTATTTTAGAGGAACAGAATAAGGCTACTAGTAGATTTGCTTCTGTTACAGATAGTCATACAAAGATATGTATTTGTTACAATGACATTATGGAAATTTTAAGTTCTAATGCCCTTGCAAAAGCTATATTTGACAAATATGTTATATCCATTAATACAGTTATTGGAAATATAAATACTATAATGGATCTTTGTAAGACTGGAACAATCACCGATAAAGAAGTCAAACAGGCTGAAATATTATCTCTTAACATAGAAAACATAAGAAGAAAAATTGTAGAGGACTTGAATGAAGTTAAACAACAAGAGATACTAAGAAAACAGAAAGAAGAAGAGGAGGCAAAGAAAAAAGAACTAGAAGAGAAGAAGCTTATAGAAAAAAAGACAGTTGCACAGGTTGAACAAACACTTATTGAACAGCCTACTAAAATAAAGCCTATGTTTTATTCGGCAAAAAATTTTGCTTATTATGAAAATTTAAGAAAGTTTCTGAATGAGTATGAAAACAGTTATAAAGATCTCTTAGAAAATGTAAGCTTGAAGAAGTTTCGATTTGATTGCCAGAAAGCTGTCAATACTCCAGTAAATGCCCTCTCATCTGTAAGTGGTACACACATAAGAGATAAATATGACAAACTATGTAAGTTATTAAGAGGTGAGAGTGTGCAAGTATTAGATACCTATGTCCAAGCAACACAACATCCTCAGGGCTTGTATTACTGCACAGCTCTGTTAGCCAAAAAGATAGTAAGGCAAGGTGATCTCTTGGTATCAAGCAATCCAGAAGCTGCTTTTCCTCTTGCAGCTGTTGCAGTAACATTATGGTCACAGTTTCCAGAGTTTGGAATGCTTTTAGAAGCCAACTTCCATAGACAGTGTCCTTATTTAGTGCCAATGTTATTGCCCCAGAAGCAAGGCCAATCTGATAAGGAATTTTATATATCTAGAGGTTACACATATAATGAGGAAGGTGTTGTTGAAAAACAGGACAAGTTTTTGAAAAGGATGTCAGGTATATTTAGGCTTTGTTGTGCAATCTGGATAACAAGGACACCAAAATTTCTCAATTCCCCTAATCCTCATGGCTTGCATCATGGATGGAAATGGCTTGCTTCTTTTATCAATCTTAAACCAGAACCAGATATCTGTGCAACACTTCTTCACGATTTCTTCATTGTGTGTGGTTCTGAATATTACAAGTATTACAAGAAACAGTTTATTAAAATCATCAAACTCATAAGTACTGATTATTTAAAAATTCTGGAAAACATTGATGAAGGTGGCCCTAAAACTAGATTGGAAGTATATCTACAAAATGTTTTAAAAACTGGTCACCTTCCTCCACCTAGTGGATTGCTACCTCCAAATACTTGGTAGGTAGGTATAATAAGTAAAAAAAAAATATTTAAATGTATTATTGAAAATTTTAATAAATTAAGTTTAATAATATTTTGTATTAATGTAAACTATTTTCATATGTGTAATGAAATCAAGATGATTGATTTGATAGTTGATTATAAGTAAATATCTGTAATTTAAACAAATGTTTTATTTTAAACTAGCCACCCTATTTATTAATGTGGAGTTATAGAATATCTTTATTTGTTGGTTATTAGACTTAACATAATCAAAGACCATATACTTTAACAAATTTTCGTTTTTCTAAAAAAATGTAAGTTTTACGGATAAAATAAAATTAAGTTACTAAAAAAATATCCAAATTGAGGACCTCCTCCTTTTTTTGAAGTTGGTTAATAAAGCCTAGATCAGCCCCTAATTTTGACTTTCTAAATGCAATGTTGATTATTCTGATTTCCCAGAAGACCTGATTTTTTTTTCTTTGTTCTGAATAACTTTATTTTTATCACTGGCGCCTTGTCAATGCCTATAATTGCAGCACTTAATTCCTTGCTATTAATATTTATCATATATCTAATAACTTCATTGCATTGCTAGTGATACGTTTTGCCAGCAATGCAAATTTCAATCATTTGTTGCGGTGAAAATTTTAGAGCACCTATTTATTACATATGTTTTTAAACTTGGCACCTAGCTAGCACCTCAAAAGCCCCTAATTTTTTCTTTTTCCAAATGTTAAATCCTGACTGCGTTGCTGGTGAGACACAACTGGTATCCTCTTTTCTGCCGACTTCAAAAAGGAGACGGTACTCAATTCGACTGTATGTGTTTTTTTATGTGTGTTACCTCATAACTTTTTACTGGGTGAACTGATTTCGATTATTCTTTTTTTATTTGAAAGCTGGTACTTCACATGTGGTCCCATATGAATTTGATCAAGGTCAGACCAATAGTTTTTGAGTTATTCTCAATTATTTATATTTAAGTCGGCTGTACAAAATTTTTAATTTTAAATTATTGTCATTCTTTTTTCAAGTCTTTATATGATATTTTAATTCAAATTTGAAAAGGAATAGACTCATAGATAATCAAAGCACAACAAAACAAAATAAATATTATTCCAAGCCTTCTTGTCATATGGTCACAATCATTCAAAATGTCATATAGTTTAAGGCTGGCTTTTCACTATGGGATATAATATATATTATATCCCGAAATATAAATTATATCCCGCGATTGGCTTTCACACTGTGAGATATATCTTTTTACCAGTTTGCGTTCGTCATTGGTCATTGGATTACCCCCTTTACCCCGTACACCGTTCTGCGGGGGCGCGGAACGGTGTGCGGGGTACGGGAGGTGAAATATAATATGAAAATATCGCTTGGTCGATCGAAAAAATATTTATAGATTGAGATGTAATATATATTATAGCTCAGTGTAAACGGTTCCATATGAAATGTATGGTGAGCGATATTAATTTATATCTGGAGATGTTATATATATTATATTATATCGAAAAGCGGGCTTAAAGCTGAACGCACATTTGTCCGCACTCAGCACCGTACGCGTCGTAGCGCCATACGCGCCGAGTTTTAGTTTTACTTCCCGTATAATTGTATAATAAGTGTTGCCCAAAATGAGTCTTGGTCTTGCAGTCTTGGTCTTGTTCTTGCATTTTTGCAAGACCAAGACCAAGAACAAGACCGCCTAATTTTAGCAAGACCAAGACCAAGACTGACCCTGCAAGATTTGAGCAAGAACAAGACTAAGCCTGCGAGATTTGCGTCTTGCAGTTAGGAATGAGTGCCGTTTCAGGGAGTATAGGAGTTCGGGTATACGCTTAGGGAGTCTGAGACGCAAAAAATATATAAAAATATTTGGAAAATTGGACTTATGCGCATTACGAACAATACCATAAACATACATAGCGGATGAAAATATCCATTAAAAGAAAAAAACAGTGCAACCCTAGTTTTGACCGTCGGCACTTTGATAGTGCGCGGCGTCTTGTTGTCGACATCATCAAAGGTCGAATACTGACCTGTCAAAGAAATTTTGCAGCTATTCGGAAGTACAAGGTCAAGATACACGCGCCGGCGGCTTCTATTGATATCGCATTCAATCGTCGCCGCCGCGCTGCACGCACTACATTTGACACTGTTTGAATGCCGCCACAGAGTACATGTTCCAAAGAATAAAATAAGTTTTCGGGTGCTCAGAATGGACACGAATACATTATGCTGATCTTGCAAGGAATATTGCAATTAGATAATGGTAAGGATAGGTAGATACCATAATAATTTATTCTAGTAAGTAATTATTATAATATTAACTATATGGGTCTATAATAATTACTTACTATTATTATTATTACCTAATAGATAAACATGTTCAATAAGTTCACTGCAAATCTCGATTTTTGGAAATGTGTGTTTTTGAACACAAAGTGTTCGAATATGTCGTCACCCATTTGATAAATATTGTAGACACTTTTAACAAACTTGAATCTTGTAAACATTTTGTACAATGCTAATCGAATAATATAAAAAGTGTGCATATTAAATAAAAAGCGTAAAATAAGATCTATGTACTTTTTAGGAGCCCGAGTATCTCTTAGAGAACCGTTTAAAGAAATTGATTGCATCGAATTGATGTAAATAATAGTGATTTGCACAATTTTAATAGTAGAAATAAAAATAAAATCACAGTACCTGCTTTCCGGTTACACAAAGTATATAATGCGTTCTTGGGTAGCGATATACGCTTTTATAATAAGATTCCAAAAGAAATGTTAGATCTTTGACCTTTTCAATTTAAGTCAGACAAAAATGCTTGGAACTGACCTCTCGTACTACACAGGACTAACTAGAAATTTCTAAACCGATTTGGTATATTTGACATTTTATGTTTGACTTATCGCTTTACATAATTATAGTACTATTGTAAAAATATTTTGAAAAGAGCAACTACTGAGTTTCTTACTTTCTTCCATGATTCTTCTCAGTAGAATCAGAACCCCTGGACATGGAAAAGAAAAAATTGGGGAAAACAGTGATTATATGACTATTCAAAAGTGTATTTTTAATGCCTTGAATAAAACATATTTGAATTTTGAATTTCAAACGAGTGAAGGCAAATTTAAAGTAATTAACGTAGATTAATTCAATCACAAGAAGAACATAATATACACAATTTTATTTACATATTTACATTTCATTTTTACGTAGGCACACTATACCTATCTGGCAACGCATCTACTTTATTAATCTTCTGAAGAATCATTATTTTTATCAAAGAATGCCGAACTTTCCTTTGTAGGTCTTTCGGCGTGTACTTACAAATAGTAGTATTTATATTAATTTCAGTCATTCCCGATTGAGCTTTGCTTCGAGTCTAATGTATTAATTGTTTTTATTCTAATCCTAATTGTTCTCGGAGTGATAAGTTTACAATTTGACATGAGTGACAAAGAGTCGAATAGTTCTAGTCGGAGTAGTGAGAGTTGGGGTTATAGATCTAAAAGACCTAAAAGCAAATTTGATGAGTTTTTCGACATAATTCATGCATCCCAAATTCCTTTGTGTAAATTATGCCAACATAAAAAAGTTGAAATAAAAATGAAAAACAGAAACACTTCAGCCTTAAGGAAGCATCTAATATCTTTCCACAAAAAGGAATCACAAATATTTCTTCCTGAAAAACCAAAATTAAGTGGAGATATCACAAGCTTTTTAATAACCACCGGAAAAAGTGGACAGGTAAGAAAAAATATACTTATCACACAATTACATAACACATATATTATGTAACTAGCGGCCGCCCGCGACTTCGTCCGCGTACAATATCTGATTTTCTATGAGATTTTGAAATTTTCCCGCTGCAAAAGTCTTACCTAAGTATAAAGAGGCTATATAGGTAAAGCTTAACTATGCAAGTATTTATTATTTAAAACTAATAAAGTAAATGTCGATCTTCATATCTATACACTAAATATATAGGACTTGCATGTAACCATTTTACCCCAATTTCACCCCCTTAGGGTTAGGATTTCGTAAAACAGCTTATTCAGGATTTTATTATTGAAAACTTATAACTTTAATGCCGATTTTCGTGTCTCTAACTTCAAAAACGTAGGACTTTCATACAAACTTCCAACTCCCATTTCACTCCCTTAGGGATAGATTTTCTTAAAACCGTTTCTTAACTGATCTCTATGCCATAAAATGAACCTACCTTACAAATTTCAAGTTTGTTTGTTTTATAGTTCCTGAGATATCGTTATAGTCAGTCACTGAGTGGTATATATATATATATATATATATATATATATATATATATATATATATATATATATGACGGCACCTGCACCGTTGTAGATGCGGTGGTGTCGGTCTAGCTAGACAGAACCCTTGTAAACGACACGTGTACCGCACACCTGCGGCATTGCATCTGCGTTGCCGCCCGTCCTGCTTGTATAAAACTGACTGAGCGGCCGCCGTTAAGACAGTCTTGGCTCTGACGTGGAACGGTACACTTGTCGTATTCCGTTACTAGTTTATCCTCGACTCATTGGATAATTAATTCGTGTAAACGAATTAATTATTATTCCTAACTACAAAATTAGTCTCTGTACTATACCCACTATACTTCCGACATCAGAAGTGGGATAAAGTCCCCATTTTTGCCCACATACAATCTTCGAATAGTATCAGGATTATTACATTTGTGAAAGACTATAATGCATTCTGCATTGATGATTCTATTTTTATGTTAAATACCGTAATGAAATTTGCTGTCCTACTTACGATATTGTCGTATCATTAAAGTGTAGAGAAAAGATAAAGTGAAATTATTTAAGTCAAAAGTCTTTTTATTCAATTTATAATAGAAAGTACCCGCAAGTAATTTCATTATTTCTTAACGTACCCAAATACGATAACAAATGTCGAAAGAAATGTTGGAGATATTCTGAATGAGTTATAGTTTGCATTCAGTGGAAGTTTAACTTGCTCAAG